GTTGCTGTTGCTGTTGTTTGGCGTCGTCCCCCCCGCGACCTGGCCCGCGACCCACCCGCAACCCAACCCGCGACCTTTCCCGCGATCCACCCGCGACCCACCCCGTGACCCGCCCCGCGACCAACCAGCGACCCACCCCGCAACCCGCCCCGCGACCCGCCCGCGTCCCTCCCGCGACCCACCCCGCGACCCGCCCACGACCCACCCCGCGACCCACCCGCGACCCACCCGCGACTCACCCCGCGACCCAACCCGCGACCCACCCGCGACCCACCCGCGACCCGCCCGCGACCCACGCGCGACCCGCCCCGCGACACAACCACATTTGTTTAACGAAAATTCGCGCCTGCGGCGGGCTTCTTCAGAGCCTCGCAGACTGCAGGCGTCCCCGCAGCCCCCTCACTCTTGTCCGCGACTGCGGGGTGCTACGTATTGTCTTATGGATTGGTAGACGACTCCTTTGTATCCGTCTAGCTCTGAGTTGAGCTTGTCATGTAAGGCAGCGCCAGGACGCACTGCCCCTCACTGGATGCACTTCTTCGCCTGCAGCCCTGTGGGCCTCGTGGCTCGGAGCCCGCGCTGGGCGCGCGGCGGGTGGCGTCGGATCTGCGCGGGGCCGTGGAGCACGGCTTGTGGGGCCATATGGGGTGGCTGGTGCGGTGCCCGCCGTTCTTCCTCCCCCTCCTCCTCCTCCCCCTCCTCCCCCTCCTCCTCCTCCTCCTCCTCCTCAGCCTCCTCCTCCTCCTCCTCCTCCCCCTCCTCCTCCTCCTCCTCCTCATCCTCCTCCTCCTCCTCCTCCTCCTCCTCCTCCTCCTCCTCCTCCTCCTCCTCCTCCTCCTCCTCCTCCTTCTCCTCCGTCGAAGGATTGCCCACCGTTCCCGAGCTGTGTCCGACGTCTGGGTGCCCGGCGGCCGTTCCCCGCCCCAGGCGCCCGTGCGCGGCGCGCCGCGCCTCTCGGCGACCCCTGCCGCGGGGCTGCCCAGCCCGTGGGGAGGGCAGCGTGCCGAGGCGCGCGGCCTGCCGATCGGGCTGGCGGTGGGCCACGGTGCTGGCCATCCCGTCGCGGCCGCCCGCGGTGGGCGCGGCGCGGCCGTTCGTGTCGCTCGGGGCGCTGGTCGTCACGAGTGGCCACGCTGGCTCGCCCGAGGCCGAGGGGGTGACAGCGAGCGAGAAGGGCGCAGCCTGGGTCGGGCACGGCGGGCGAGGGCCTCAGGCGAGGCATCGGGTGTTGATCTCGGCGCGCCTCCGCCGCTTACCGGGGGAGTCGGCTACTCTGGCCGCGCACGGGGATGGGCACCTGAGGATCCCCAGCGTTTTTGCAACCCACACACATCGGGTTTATGGCGTGGGTGGCGGAGAGTGGGCGTCTTCAAGAATATGCCAGCAACGACGACACCTACCATTTTGAAGTTCTTCTGCGAGGGCGACAGCGAGAGAGGCTAGGGCAGCAGGCAAAGTTGTTTCGAGTGCCTCGCGCTGGGGAGTTGTTCTCCACGCATATGTTTCAGCTGGGCCTACCCGGTCGTGGGGCCAGTAGCGGCGTCGCGCTTCCCGGTCCTGGTTTCTTACACGCTGTGTGTTAGCCATTCGGGCCTGGGCCTCCCTGGACCTGGAATTGGTAACGTTCGCGCGCTTCATGTTCCATTCCCACGATGCTGCGACTTTTTGCTGCCCTGGTGCTCAATTGCTGATCGCGTCTCCCTTGGCCACATGTCGGGAGCCCCTGGTCACCTGGACTCTGCCCTCAGCGCAGTGGGCCTGGATTTGTCCGTGTTTCGCGTGGCCCGTGTCTCATGCCCCTGATAGTCTGGCTTTTGGCTGCCCTGGTGCTCAGTGGCCGATCGTCTCTCCCGTGTCTGGGAGCGGTGCTCTGGGATGGGCCTTCGGGATGGGCCTCCGCGGAGTTGGGGTCGTGACCTTCTCGAGCTCCACGCCCCATTCCCGCGCTGACCTGGCTCTTCGCCGCCCCGGTGAAAAAGTTGCTGGCCGTCCCTCCCTTGGCCGTGTGCACCGGGGTCCTCTGGTCAACTGGACTGCGATCTCTGTGCGGTGGCAGTCTCCGGCGCCCTCTCCCCGTTTTCCCCCCGCCCACCCCCTCTTCCGCCGCCGCCGCCTCGGCCAAGGACGGCCCTGCCAGTCTCCTGGCCGCAGCCACTGTGTTGCCTGCGCTGCGCGGCCTAGCCCGGCGCTGGGCTCAGCGCGCTTCGGCAAGCCTGACGGCACCTTCCTGGCCCCCTCCCGGCCCCAGGTCGTTGTGTGGTCGGCCCACAGGTTTCGCACGGCCCTCGTGCCTGTTTCGAGTGCCAGATCCTGCTGACCCTGGTCGTCGCTGCCAGGCGCCGTGTTTTCTTTTGACTCCTTGCCCCAGGCTTTGGTCCTGACCTGGTCTTTCACGACGTCACGTGCGCGGGCTGTGCCTGGCCTTGCTCCCTTCTTGACACCCCGGCTGGGCGTCCCCACCGCTCTCGTGCGGCTCCGCCCTCCACTTCGCTGCGCCCTGCTCGGACTTGCTCCTCGGCACGCGCGCCTTGAAGCCTTCACGGTCTGAGTGTGCCTCCCTTCCGCGCCCTCTCCGGCCCTCCCTCCCCGCGCTCCTTCGTGGTGCCTGTGGTTGTGCTCTGGAGCGTCCCGCCGCCGCTTCACCACCGCTGGGGGCCCTCACGGCCGCCGAGCAAAAAAAATAATATTTGATTTTGACATACCTATACGACCACCCTTCGGGTGATACGGAGGTTCGGGGGGGGAGGAACCAACGTCTCACTCGATCAGTCTCATTATCGATCTCACGATCGATCTCACTATCGGTCTCGTTCGTTCGACCTCACTCGATCGATCTCACTCGATCTATGTCATTCGATCGATCGCACAATTGATCTGACTATCGATCGCACAATCGATCTCACTATCGATCTCACAATCGATCTCACATTCGGTCTCACTATCGATTTCACTATCGATATCACAATCGATCTCACAATCAACGTCCTCATCATCATCATCAACAACAGCATCGCCATCAACGTCATCATCATCATCATCATCATCATCATCATCATCATCATCGGGACACCATCATCATCACCACCTCATTACCATCATCATCATCAACATCACCACCGCCATCATCATCATCATCATCGGCACACCACCATCATCATCATCATCTCATCATCCTGAACAACATCATCAACATCATCATCACCAGAACACCGTCATCATCAGCAGCAACATCATCATCACTATCATCATCATCGGGATACCATCATCATCGTCACCATCATCATCACCATCATCGTCATCGGGACACCATCACCATCATCAACATCAGCAGCATCATCACCATCATCGGGCCACCAGCATCAAAATCATCATCATTTCATCAACAACATCATCATCATCATCGGGACACCAACATCGAAATCATCATCATCGACATCATCATCATCATCGGGGCACGATCATCATCACCATCATCATCAACAGCATCAACATCAACCTCATCATCATCATCACCGGGACACCATCATCCTCATCACTATCACCATCATCATCATCATCATCATCATCATCATCATCTCATCATCATGATCATCAACATCATCATCCTCGGGACATAATCCTCATCATCATCATCAGCAAGCTCATCATCATAAACATCATCATCATCATCAAGACACCACCATCATCACCACCATCATCATCATCAACATCGTCAACATCATCATCATCATAATAATCATCATCATCGGGGCACCATCATCATCACCATCACCATCATCATCATCATCAACATTATCGACATCATAATCATCATCATCATCATCATCATCATCATCATCATCATCGGGACACCGACGGGACACTGGCGGGACACCGGCGGGACATCGCGGGCCACCGGCCCCCGGAAAGGAATCATTTGGTCCGTCCGCGCCTCAGCCGGAGGCGGGACACCGCGGGACACCGGCGGGACAACGCGGGGCACCCGCCCCCGGAAAGGAATCATTTGGTCCAGCCGCGCCCCAGCCGGAGGAGACTTTCTTCTCGCCCGCCCACGCAGCTTCGCCTCGCCCACACGCACGGCGCGCACGAACACGAAACCGAAACCGATTTCCCGGTAGGGGGGCTTTCCGTTCCACTTCGATCTCACCCCCTCACCTCCGACGTGTGCGCATGTGCATTGTTCTTCGGTGAGGCGGTCTCGAACAAATCCTTTCTGAGATAATTAAGCGATTGTGCTCGGTCTGTAGTATAGCAGGGACGAGGGAAGGCGATGCCAGCCTGGTCGGGACGGTATCGTTTCACTTGGAAAACGACCGATTGGGCACGATCGAATGTAATTCGCGGTGTCTCGGGGGGGCAGAGGTGGTAGAGCTTTTTCTTTGACCCGATACTATATGCAATGCCGTAGATGTCGCGTAAGGTACCGGGCCCAAGGTGTGTGGCAAACTCGTGTCGTGAAGTCTGCGCTGTGGAAACGGTTTTTGCGGTGTCGACCGACGACCGGAACAACGACGGGATAACTTTGCCAGCGAGCGACGCGGCGCGGCGGCGACGGGCGGCGACCCGTCGAAACCGTAGAGGGCCCACGCATTTACTCATCGGAGGGAGCCGGGCGCCGTTAGCGCAAGCACTGTTAGGGACACTGTTGTGAATGTGTGTGTGAGTGCGCGCGCGAAGTGCAGCAGGCGTTGCAAACATCGTGACGACATCCACTGTGTCGCAGCAGCGCCAACTGTCATCACATGTCACCGCAGCTGTCCAAGGGTCTCTTTGCACTGGTCAGGTCCGTCGCATCAGTGTTGTTGGCGATTGTGTAGTTTTGTGGTGGACGTTGGGGCGCATAGCACGGAGATGACACAGTGCCGTCTTCAGGTCAGACTGAAGATGATGTTGTTTGTTTGAGGAGGTGTACCACCGTAGCCACGCGTGGTTCTGAAATGCAGCGCGCGGCAAGAAACAAACAAACGCGCCGATACAAGCAGTCGGCGATGGGGAGTCAGGATGCACTTGTTCTGGAGGCGGCGCGGAACGGGTTGTTAAGTATCACTACGTTTGCGATGCTATACACCCTGTACCTGGCGATGGAGGTTTGCTTGTCCTCTGCATTCGCGCACACACGTGCCTTTTCTAAACAACGTGTTGCAATGCACGCCCGCCTTGCGATTCGATGCTATGAGGTGTGGAAATGGAGCGCGGCCTTCCCATTGTAGCACCACTTGTATACAAGTGACTGCGACATCTACAATTGCGGGTTTCTCGCGCCAATGAAGCATTTGCTTGTAGACCAGTGATGTTCATCGCGTGCATGATTTTGCTGTTTGACGATTGCTACAGGCTGAGCGCTTGACCACCCGCAGTCCACATGTCAAACTTCGGTTGTCCCGCTGGGTTGGGTATGAATACGGACACGCGCACGTCAAATATCTTATTGCATGTATCTGCAAAGATGCATACGGGCACGCACGCGTACATGATTGCAGGTACCAGTATGGCTCTTCTTGCGGAAATCGATAAGGCGTGATTCGTGTGAGTTTGCAAGCTTGGTATCTTGCATACATGTTGACACGTGGGTGAACGTGAGTGCGCGTGATACTCTGATCAAATGTTGGCAGGCTCGTGTTTCCTGGTACTTGCACCCAGGAATGTCAGATGTTTCACCTGTATATGTTGTATACCTTCATCTGTTCACCACTGTGTCACACGCCTGGCGTTTCAAGCTAATGTGACGCACTGTGCTTGTGAGGAAGGGTGACCATCTCGTTGCCTGGCAAGCCTGGCATTTCTACGTGTTCTCCTCCAACTATCCCCGTGTCCTTGAGGGCGTGGCAATTGCAAAGAAGCGGCTGAACGCCTCCGTGATTATCAATGTTGCCTTGGTTGCAGCAGGCGGGAATGGGGTGATGCAATTCTCTGTTGTGAAATGTGAGCCCTGATAACAGCAAGCGTGCGACGTACTTAGAGAGAGAGAGAGAGAGAGACAGAGAGAGAGAGAAAGAAGAAAGAGAGAGAGAGAGACAGAGCGAAAGAATTTTACAGAGAGAAAGAGAGAGAGAAAGAGAGAGAGAGAGAGGTAGGCAGTGAGAGCGGACAGAGAGTAAGAGAGATAGAGAGAGGGAGAGAGAAAATGCGAATATGGAGAACAGTGCAGTGTCACAATCTTCGTGCGCGCTATGGTGAGCCTTCGAGTGTTGCAGTTCGGCGCGCGACTGAAGTCTGATGCTGGACAAGGAGCGATACGGGATCACGCGGTGCAGACAGCAACGTATGAGGTTTGCATTGGCATGGTGAGGGAAGCTTTGTCGTGCGCATGGGCGCACATTGGCCCAGTTTTAGGGCCGTGCAGTATTCCCTTTCTCGTTTTGCCCTGCTTGACCGGCCACTTGTCAGGTCCATTGGTTATGGGCACGCTCCACAGGTCTGGCCAGCTGACCGTGGCGAGCCTGTGGGCGTCGCAGGCTCTGACCTGCCTGTTCTGTCTTGAAGAGAGGGTTGCCATGTGGAGATGACCAGCGCAATATTGTGTTCGAGCGAGTTGAGGGTTGGCCACATACAGAAGAGCACGCAAGCAGTCACATTGCAGTTGATGCGGTCGTCATTATTGACGCTTCGCGTATCGCCACCACCTCCGTAGCCTCTGGCTCAAGGCGTCTGGGCTCGAGCCCGCCCCTGTCTCAGGTGCGCGCCCCGGCCCGTGGGATGGAAGCCCGTGTCGCGGCGGCGGCTGCGGCGTGAGCGGCCGCCTCCGCCGCCAGCGCCGCAAGTGCTGCTGGCGCCACGGGCGCCGTGGGCGCCGCGGGCTCCGCTGGCGCCGCGGGCGCCGCACGTGCCGAGGGCGCCACGTGCGCCGCGGGCACCGCCAGCGCCGCGGATGCGGCGAGCGCCGAAGGCGCCGCGGGCGCCGCGGGGCGCCGCCTGCGCCGCGGGCATCGCGGGTGCCTCGGGCGCGCGCGCCGTCGCGGGCGCCACGGGCGCCGCGGGCGCGTGGGCGCCGCGGAGGGCGCTGCGGGTGCCGCGGGCGCGCGGGCGCCGCGCGGCGCCGCGGGGCGCAGCGCGCGCTGCTGGCGCCGCCAGCCGCCGCCTGCGCCGCCAGCGCCGCCAAAGCCGCCGCGCGCCAGCGGCCGCCGCGCGCCGCGGGCGCCGCGAGGGCGCCGCGGGCGCTGCGGGCGCAGCGTGCGTCGCGGGCGCCGCGGGCGCCGCCTGCGCCGCCAGCGCCGCCAGCGCCGTGGGCGCCGCGGGCGCTGCGGGTGCCGCGGGCGCCGCTGGTGCCGGCGGGCGCCGGGACTTCCAATTCTCTAGTGATCGCGGCCCTCTGCCGCCTCTCTGACACCATCGTAGGCTCCTCCCTGTCACCCTGGATGTGCGACCATTTGTCGTGCAGGAGGAGGTGCCCCAGCTCGGTGCTCTTCGATACACACCAGCAGTGCGACCGTTTGTCGTTACTCTGGCTCTCCTGGTAGACACGTTGTGTCTCGTCGTATCCTGGCAATCCTGGCGGGCACGAAATTCTGCGGACAGGTCTGGCAGTGGTGACCTGGCGGGCGGGTCTGAGAGTTCGAAACTGACCAGGTGGTCGTTTGCCACAGCGCGTCGGTCCCTCCCCCCCCCCCCGAAGACAGGCAAACGGACGCCCATAGTGCTCCTCATTCCTATCAGCGTCCCTGGGGCAGCTTCGCGGAGAAATCCGAAAATGCGGTCGACAACGCGCCCCCTCCTGGAGACAGCATCGTGGCGATAGTTGGCAGCGCTGCAGAGGGCGCGCCCGCGCTCGGAGACGTTCCTCGCAAAATAGACAGCCAGGAGCTTGCGTCCGAAAGTGCGGCCTTCAGCTGCAACAGTTCTCTGGGAGAGCTCCCGACTGAACATGTGGTTGTCTGCCACAGCGCGCTGGTCCCTCCCCTTCCTCGTCATGGGCTGATCGTCCTCCTTGCTGCTCCTCGCTCCTATCTGCGCCATTGGGGCAGTGTCGGCGCGGAGGCTGCAGATGCGACCCGAAGCGCGCCCCTTCCTGGTAACATTGCCTCGGGGACAATTGGGGGCGCTGCTGAGGGCGCGCCCGCGCTCGGAGACGTTCCTCCAGAGGGCGCGCCCGCGCTCGGAGACGTTCCTCGCAATTCCGACAGTTTCGAGTTTGTTTCCGAAAGTGCAGCCTTCAGCTGCAACAGTCCTCTGGGAGCGCCACAGACCGAGCACGCGGTTGTCAGCCACCGCGCATCTACTTCTCCTCCCCCTGGAGACCGGCAGGCGGACCCCCGTAGCACTCCTCGCTCCTATCAGCGCTCCTGGGTCAGGTTCGCGGAGGAACCCAAGGATGCCGTCGAAAGCGCGCCCCCTCCTGGAGACAGCACGTATCGCGGCGATAGCTGGGGGCGCTGCAGAGGTCGCGCCCGCGTTCGGAGACGCCCCCCCCCAATTCAGACGCTCAGGAATTTGCATCCGCATGCGCGGCCTTCAGCTGCCAAAGTCATCTGGGAGAGCTCGAGACTGATCAGGCGGTCGATTGCCACAGCGCGCCGGTCACTCCCCCTCCTGGAGACCGGCAGGCGGACCCCCAGAGTGCTCCTCACTCCTATCAGCGCCCCTGGGGCAGGTTCGCGGAGGGGGCCGGAAATGCGGTCGAAAGCGCGCCCCCTCCTGGAGACAGCATCGCGGCGTTGGTCGGGGGCGCCCCGGGCGCTGCAGCGGGCGCGCCCGCGCTCGGAGACGTTCCTCATACTTGCAACAGTCAGGACTTGTTTCCGAAAGTGCAGCCTTCAGCTGCAACGGCCCCCTGGCAGCGCAACAAACCGAGCACGCGGTCGTCAGCCACAGCGCGCCGGCCCCTGCCCTTCCTGGAGACCGGCAGGCGGACCCCCATAATACTCCTCGCTCCTATCAGCGCCCCTGGCCCCGGGGCAGCTTCGCGGGCGAGGCTCCGCTCGAAAGCGCGCCCCCTCCTGGAGACAGTATCGCGGCGATATTGGGGGGCACTTCAGGGCGCGCGCCCGCGCTCGGAGACGCTCCTCCCAACATAGAGGCTCAGGAGTTTGCGTCTGCAGCCGTTAGCTGCAACAGTCCTCTGTCTGGCAGCGCGACAGAACAGGCGGGCACCCCTTCGGCCCCTTACTCCTATCAGCGCCCCTGGGGCAGCAGCGCGGCGGAGGCCGGAAAGGCGCTCGACAGCGCCGCCCCTCCTGGACACAGGGCCCCGGCGACGGTCGGATGCGCTGCAGGGGGCGCGCCCGCGCTTGGAGACGCCCCTCACAATAAGGAGCCTCAGGAGTGTCGCGGGAAGTGCGGCCGTCGGCTGCAGCGGTCTCAGGGAGAGGAACACGCGGTCGTCTGCCGCAGCTTGTCGCCCCCTCGCGCGGCCCCTCGCTCCCATCAGCGGGCGCTCGCGCGGCCCCTCGCTCCTATCAGCGCCCCTGGGGCAGCAGCGCGGTGGGGGCCGGAGAGGCGCTCGACAGCGCGCCCCCTCCTGGAGACAGCGCCCTGGCGGCAGCTGGGGTCGCTGCAGAGGGCGCGCCCGCGCTCGGAGACGCCCCTCGCCCAATAGCGACTCAGGAGTGTGTTCCGGAAAGCGCGGCCATTAGCCGCATTGCCTTGATCAGGGGAAGCTCGTGAGCGCGCACGCGGTCGTCTGCCGTGCGGCCGCTAGCTGCGACAGTCTTCAGGGGGAGCTCGGGAGCGAACGCGCGTTCGCCCGCCGCAGCTCATCGCCCCCCCCCCCCCCCCGGAGGCCGGCAGGCGGGCGCCCATTCGGCCCGCCACTCCTATCAGTGCCCCTGGGGCAGCAGCGCGGTGGCGGCCGGAAAGGCGCTCGACAGCGCAGCCTTTCCTGGAAACAGTGCCCTGGCGACAGTTTGGATCGCCGCAGAGGGCGCGCCCGCGCTTTGAGACGCCCCCCACGACACTGAGCCTCAGGGGTGTGCATCGGAAAGGGTGGCCGTTAGCTGCGGCAGTCTCCAGGGAGTGCTCGAGAGTGAACAGGCGGTCGTCCGCCGCAGCACGTCGGCCCCTCCCCCTCCCGGGGACCAGCAGGCGGGCACCCAGCGGCTTCTCTCGCCTATCCGCGCCCTTGGGGCAGCAGCGCGGCGGAGGCTGGAGAGGCACTCGACAGCGCGCGCCCTCCTGGACACAGGACCCCGGCGACAGTTGGGAGCGATGCTGAGGGCGCGCCCGCGCTCGGAGGCCCCCCTCGCAACGTAGAGTCTCAGGAGTGCGCGTTGGAAAGCGCGGCCGCCAGCTACAACAGTCTACAGGACGAGCTCGAGAGCGAGCACGCCGCCGTCTGCCTCAGCCGCTCCCCCCCCCCCCCCCCCCTCTCCTGGAGGCCAGCGAGCGGGCGCCCATGCGGCTCCTCACTCCTGCCAGCGCCCGTGGGGCAGCAGCGCGGTGGAGGCAAGATAGGCGCTCGAGAGCTCGCCCCTTCCAGGAGGCAGTGCCCCGGCGGCAGGTGGGCGCGCTACAGATGGCGCGCCCGCGCTCGGAGACGTGCCTCACAGGTTAGAGCCGCAGGAGTGCGCATCGGAAAGTGAGTGCGGCCGCGGGGGCAGGGGCAGAGATCAAGCTCTCAGCGGGAACGCCGCACGCTGTCTCGCCCAGTCCCCTCACCCTCCCGCCACGTAAAACTGCACCCGAATCGCAGCATGGGCAGAGGTCGCCGTCGGACGGGCAGCCACTGGGAACCAACACAGACGCAAGGTTCGCGACGCTCGCGAAGTGCGCCACGGGTGCGTCACGTGCACCGGGCGCGCCAGATTCCCAGGGGCCCGAGCGCG